AGTCAGTGAGCAGAGGAATATCCTACACGAAATAAGAGAACGGAAGGCTAATTGGATTGGTCATATCTTACGCGGTAACTGCCTTCTAAAAGAAGTTAATGAAGGAAAGATAGAGGGGCAGATAGAAGTGACCAGAAGACGAGGAAGAAGACATAAGAAGATGCTGGATGACCTTGGGGACAGAAGAGGATACTTTCATTTGAAGGAGAAAGCTCTAGATCGCATCAAGTGGAGGAACTGTTTTGGAAGAGACTGTGGACCTGTCATCTTGACAGATTAGAGATAAATGAATGAATGAATAGGAAAGGAAGGCGACTGAGCCCAGTTTATCATCCGGCCGGCTGATGTTGGGCCGAAGGTTGAGAACTCTGTGGATCTGCTGATTGTTGTATCCGTTCTTCCTGAATACATCCCTCAGGAGCACCGACTCCGCATGTAGGCTGTCCTGATCACAAAGAGCTCTAGCCCTGTGCACCCATGTGGAAAGAGCAGCTAGCTTGTTGGAAGGATGGTGGTGGGACGCAGTGTTAAGGTAGAGGTTTGTATGGGTGGATTTGCGGTTCACTCTATGGCCCAGAGAACCGTCGGGTCTCCTGTAAATATCTATATCCAGGAAGGGGAGGTGACCCTCAGTTTCAGTCTCCATTGGTAACTGAATGCACTGGTGGTTACTGTTTTGGTGGTTGAGGAAGTCCTTAAGGTTGTCGGGCCTGTGTGGCCAGATGACGAAGGTGTCGTCCACGTAGCGAAACCAGCAGCGGGGCTTGTGTGGGGCAAAGTCAAGTGCCCTGTCCTCAAAGTCCTCCATATAGAAGTTAAGAGATAACCGGAGAAAGTGGCAAGCCCATCACCACACCATCGGTTTGTTCATAAAACTGGCCATTGAAGTTGAAGTATGAGGTGGTCAGGATATGGCGGAAGAGTCTCAAGATGTCGTCTTCAAAATGTCATCCTAGCAGATCCGTCATATCCTTTATAGGCACCCTGGTGAAGAGTGACACTACGCGGAAGCTGACCATGTCATGGGAATTTACATGGAGAGAGCCCAATGTGTGGACAAATTCCATGGAGTTCCTTACGTGGTGTGGACCGTTGCCAGTGTATGTGCTCAGTAGGCCAGCCGAGTGTTTGGCCAGGCGATAGGTGGGAGAGCCAATGGTGCCCACAGTGGGCCCTAGTGGAACGTCAGGCTTGTGGATTTTCGGCATCCCGTAGAGTCTAGGGTCTGCCTCCAAACAAATTATCCACTTTCCTCCAGCCGGTCAAAGATAGCCTGGGACTAAGGACCGCAGGTGTATACAGTATCCCATGCGAGTGCGGCAAGGTCTGAACATAGCATCGATTTGGGACACTGCATTCAGCTTCAGAATACCTCCATCCTTGCCACCAAGACCCGATATATGGATCACATCATCAGGGAAGCCATTGAGATTGAACTCCATCCCGAAAATATGAACAGAGAGGGGGGGTTTTGTCTCAGCAAGTCATG